GGGAAAGAGGGCTCAGAGGGATCCCTTTTCCTTTCTCATGGAGAATGCCACCTTTTAGAGTTCAGTAGAGGAAGAAGAATACTTACAAGTAATTGAGAAGAAGCTGGGGGAGAACCAAGGAAGAGTGGTACCAAAAGTTCAGGGCAGGAGAGAGAAGAGGTTAAAAATACATGTTAATATTTTGTATAGAGTGGTAGTTTTATGTGGAGACCTAATGTGTCTAGTGTAGTCATAATCTCTAATTTGGCTATATTATCTCATTTATAAATATTAAATTTATTATTTGGAATTTATCCTTAGAAACCATATATGTATGTACATGTATATAAACACACTGTCTACATACTACAGATGTATCCTATTACCATAACTACTATCACTTAAAACAGCCCAGAAAGTTGGTATTATCCCCGTTTTGCAGATAATAAAACTAAGGTAATTTGCCCAAGGACACATGGCTAGTACAGAGCTTGGATTCAAATCCAGGACTTCCTGGGTCCTACTAGGCAGTGGTGCCTGTTTATTGAAATCACAGCACACCTATAAGTTAATGATGTTTCTCATTTCTAAACCCTTTTATAAATGTAGGTCTAAACTTTAGAACTTTAAAATGTGTCATTCCAAAAAAAGTTATCTATTCCTTTTGCTGTTATTATTCAAAATTTTAATAATATGCTTTCTTGGTATAATTGCTTTTCAACTTTTAAAATGTCATGAACATAGTTGGTGTTTAATACATTTTTCTATTATTTTTTAGTCTTTAACTTTTTGATATGATCAAAGGTTCTCTTCATTCTATGTCTGCTACTGTCAGTATGTGTTTAGTGTACAAGATTTTTTTTAAAGCCCTGATTCCTTTATTAGAGAATGGTATTTATTTTATTATTATCATTTTTTATTTTTTTGGCCATCCCACACGTCATGCAGGATCTTGGTTTCCCAACCAGGGATCAAACCCGGGCCCTTGGCAGTGAGAGCGCAGTGTCCTAACTACTGGACCGCCAGGGAATTCCCTCAAAGATATTTTTGTTGCTAAATAAATATTAGAGTTCATTCTTACTGATAGGTCTAAGACTAAATTTAAAAAACACAGTGAATTATATAAACATAGTGAAAAGTATTGATTGTTATTTGGCCTATTCTTTTTCCTGTTGAAGTTATCTGCAGTTTCCAGCATTGTTTTTGAAAGGTAGATGTACCGTATTAGATATGTTATCATCCTTCAGTTCTAGTTAAAACCAATACCAAAGACTTTTGTTATTTATTGTATTTATAGCTTTAGAAGATGCTGCAGGGTTACAATCTCAGTTTTTCATAGGAATGGAAAGGGGTGTGTGTGTTACAAAAGGAATTTTATACTTTTCTTTTCATCATAAAAACCCCAAGGAGAACTGGAGTGGTAGAAATAACTAACAAGTAGGAAATCTTGAATTCTGTTCTTAGCTTTTCCAGTAAATATTAGGGTGACCTGGCAAGGTACTTCCTTTCTCTGAGCCTATTTCCTCATGTGTAGAATGAGGGAATATACGAAGATAAAAAAGTTTTCTTCAACATTTGTATTTCTTTAATTATGGTAAAGGCTTCGAAAGTAGGCAGATTATAACATTACTTTTATGCTGGCCATGGTTTCAGTGCAAAACAGGTTAGTAAAATTGCAATGTCTGTGCTTTTGATTAAATCAAAACTTCAAGTTAATTGACTTTCATCTTGAAAGGAGATATTAAAGAGAGCCCTTTGATTCACTTAAAACCTATATAAGAAGAATGCAAAACCTCTCAACTTGCAACTTGAGTTAATCTTAATATTTTCTGCTAGAGGAATTTATTTTTTTTAAAACACTTTTAGGTTTTAGATACCTTTTTAAAAGTTATAAATTATATACTTCATTAAAAATGTCTCATGTGTAATTGAATTGAAATAAAATAAAAATGACCAATATATTTTTCATCATGTTATTTCTCTGCCAAAAATGTCTCTTGTTCTTAGTGTTATCAATGGAACCAGATTACTAGAAAAACTGAAAATTTGGGAAACTTGTCTCAAAACTGGGGATAACAGTATTACCTACCTGGTAGAATTTTTGTGAAAATAAATTGAGATAATCCATATAAAGTGATTATTAAGCAGTGCTTGGCACTAATAAATACTCAGCTAGAGTTAACCATTAAGAGGATGAAGAAACTTTAAGAGGATTTAGACTATACATTGACTTATAGACAGAAAGTGAAGCAGGATAAGGTATTCACATTCTTCTGTTTGTTATAGAGACACCAGATTGAAACAGTTGTATGTACAGAGTGTTAGTCCCATTTCCTCTACCCTGCCCCACAGAGTGGAACATTTATTTTGTTCATCTTATAGCTCTCATGTCTTACAAATAACTTCCCCAAACTACTCCCACCACTGATATTACTCCTCCTCATAGTGATGGATCTCAACGTATTCTAAAGTATAGTTAATTTCTAAGTCAGTTGCTCAGAGAAACAAAACGTTGTTTAGTTTTGAATATTTTAATTTAGAGAGTGACAACAATATGTGTCATTTGGCTTTTTTCTTTCTGGTTTTAAGAATTAGTTTTAATCACATGTCAAAAAAGTATTATCTAACATTCTAGAAAGTGAATTTTGATTCATTTTAATTCAAATATTTTGAGTATTAGTGGCAGAATAATTTAGTCCGATCCTTGTCATTTATACCAGAAAATGCACATGTGATCTGAAAGCAAAATTTAGGATTTTTTTTCCCAGATAATTAAAAAATTTTAAACAAAATTTTCTTTCTAAATGTCATAGCAGAATTTTGTTGAAAGCTAAGACTGGTAGATTATTGTCATGGTTTACGTAGAAGAAATGAAAATAGCCAGAATAATCCTCTTAAATAATCTTATTTCCATTATTTTTTCTTCATGTTGAATCAAAAGATGATGAAGTCACAATTAAATCTAATGAATATTTAGGAGAAAATATTAGGTAAAGAAAGATATTCACCTAACAGTGGTTTATATGGAAGTTATTGTCCATATTACTCAGAGTAGGGTATTGAAGATAATAGTGAATTTTGGTTAGGAGATTACAATAGTGAGAAGTACAAGTTACCAAGCCTGAAGCATAAAGCCAAGGAAAAGTAGGTCTCTGACATGAGAAGAAAACAAACCATTCCTGTATTAAGATTGAGCGTAAGGACAGTCCAAATTCTAGTACAATTTATTTGGATATATATTTCAGAGTTTACCTTAAAAGAGAGCATGATAGTAGTTGGTACTTAAACTTGGTGAATTATAATTATAAGAATAAGAAACATTTCCTTATAAATTAGCTAGAAATTTTGCCTGAATATTGTTCTGGACAAATTTTGTGAACCTTCTAATTACCTTTTCTTCAATTTTTTTAGATCAACTGTTTCATGTATTAGCCTTGCACATGCGGCTTTACAGCATTGATTCTGAGTATAATCCTTGGAGAAAGCTCACACAGTTACTAGAAGAGATGAATTCACAGTAAGTATTATTGAAAGATTAAAATCAATTAAAACTGTTTTTGAAAAATAGTTAAGTATAAAAAATAGGATTGAAGTTCTTTATAAATATGTGAATTTTCCTTAGGAAACTCAGAAATAAAAATTGAAAACAGTTTACCATTATACTTTCTGTAAAAATTGCCTAAAAATTCCTACTAAGTGAGGAAGTCTTTTAAAGAATTTCATTGGTTTTTATGCAGACAAAACATTCAGATAGAGGCACAAAATGGCTGGTAGTCTTTCTTTTTATGTCAGAATTGATCAGTGGGTTCAGGTAACCGTAGACTGATCCTGTCATTGTAAAGTTCCCCATAGCCTTTCACCTAATGATTTTTGAAACCTGTGATTATTCTTGCCTAAATCCAGTATTTCATTAGGTACTGAGAAATAGTGATTTTAAAAAACCACAAAAATTTTCCTTATGATTTATTAGCTAGGTTGTTTTTATAAAGAAAAACTTTCCCAGTATCAGCTGTTTGGTTACCCTGAAACATACTTTGGCAAGATGAATGCTTAATTCTTCCCTATTTATAAATCTTCAAAGAAATGAGTTGATACCCTAGCAACTTGCAGTGGTGACCGATAAGTTGTGGTTATTATGATCTCATGGATTTTTATATACTTGATGTGTTTCATTCCATTTCAGACATTCTTTTTTTAAAAATTTTGTTCTTTTTCTTTTTCTTTCTTTATTTTTGGCTGCGTTGGGTCTTCGTTGCTGTGCGCGGGCTTTCTCTAGTTGTGGTGAGCAGGGGCTACTCTTCGTTGCAGTGCGCGGGCTTCTCATGGCGGTGGCTCCTCTTGTTGCAAAGCATGGACTCTAGGGCATGCGGGCTTCAGTAGCTGTGGCGTGTGGGCTCAGTAGTTGTGGCTCATGGGCTCTAGAGTGCAGGCTCAGTAGTTGTGGTGCACAGGCTTAGTTGCTCCACCGCAACTAAGTGTGGAGCAACTAAGTGTGGGATCTTCCCGGACCAGGGCTCGAACCCGTGTCCCCTGCATTGGCAGGCGGATTCTTAACCACTGCACCACCAGGGAAGCCCCATTTCAGACATTCTTTTCAATGCGAGTTGCTTCCTTTTAGGTTAGTGAGAATCCCTTTAGGTTGGCTATTGTACTTCAACATGATCAAAGTAGTCTTTGATAATGCCTTTGCTTTCTGACACAGTAAGTTGACCTGGGTTTATTTTGTACATTTTCCACTCTGTACCTGGAATCAGCCATTTCTCCATGTAGTTCCTTTTAATGGGAAGTGGTATTTAGACATCACAATCTGGGTGCTAAGGGGTATCCATAGCTACTGTGCTATTATTGCTTATAGGCCATTCCAGTGGACAGGATTAGGAAATATTTTTTTAAGGAGAAAGATCTTGAGTTCTTACTGGTGTTTGCAATTTACACAAAAGATTGTAAGGTTATATTTTGTTTCTTAACTTTTTTGTTATTTACATCTTTTTTCTCTTATTCTGGAAATCTTGGTTCCTAGTGATATTAATAACAGCATTACTATTTGCATAACCTACAGTATAACTACAATTCTTTTTTTTAAATACCAATATTAGTACTAATTATAATTTCTTTTTGTCCTTAGAATATATACCACTAGGGATGTACAGACAAAATACTAATTTCTAAGTCATTTGAAGTAACTTTTTCTTGTGTGGTTACGCTATCAGCTTTATTTATAGTTTTTATTTATATATTTTATTTATTTATCTATATATTTTATAGGTTAATTGTTTTCTCTTTTCCCCCTCAATATTTAAAGCAATAGTGCCCAGCTGTAGAATAGAACGTAGGTTTGTATATGCTGGAAAGATTGATAAGATACATTTAAAAAGAGGGGGGGATAAATTAGAAGTTTGGGATTAACATATACACATTACTGTATATAAAATAGATAATCAACAAGGGCCTACTGTATAGCACAGGGAACTCTACTCAGTATTCTGTAATAGCCTATATGGGAAAAGAATCTGAAAAAGAATAGATATAACTGAATTACTTTGCTGTACACCTGAAACTAACACAACATTGAACTATACTCCAATATAAAATTAAAATTTTTTTAAAAGGCAAAAAAAAAGATATATTAAAAAAGCAAAATTTTCAAAATCATTGTTATAATTCTGTTTTTGTTTAATGATAATAAAACAAACTGTGGAATGTTATTAACTCTGAAAAGATTGCCTTTTTTACCTTGATTTTTTAATTTTAATTATGTAAAACATATTTTTTCCAAAGTAAAAACTATATAATAAAGTAAATTCAGAGATATATGTCTTTCATTTCTGTCCATTTGCATTTCTTTTTGTGAACTCCCTAAATCTAGTTGTTGGTCTTTTTCTTCTTCATTTAAAAAATATGTTTATGGATTGTGGATATTAGTCCTTTGTGTGATAAGTTGCAAATATATTTCACCAGGTTGTCTAATGTCTTTTTTGTGTATGTATGATTTTTTTTGCCATGCAAAATTTTATTTTTAATGTAGTCGTATTTATTAATCTTTTTTAAAAATTAATTCTGGAACTTGATGCATTTTGACTCAGGTCTTTTCCTGGTTATAAAAGGATTGATTCATTCATTTTTTCTTGTGATGAGAACTTTTAAGATTTACTCTCTTAGCAACTTTCAGATATACCATACAGTGTTACTAACTACAGTCACCATGCTGCTCATCACATCCCTATATGTACATTACATAACTGGAAGTTTATACCTTTTGAACATCTTCACCCATCCCCATCCTCCATCCCCCACCCCTGTCTATGCAATCACCAGTCTGTTTTTTGTATCTATGAGGAGTTTCTTTGTTTGCTTCTAAGATTCCACATATAAGTGAGATCTTATGGTATTTGTTTTTCTCTGGCTGACTTACTTCACTTAACATAATGCCCTCAGGGTTTATCCATGTTGTCACCAATGGCAGGATTTTCTTTTTTATGGCTGAATAATATTCCATGGTATATATATATGCCACACTTTCTTTATCCATTCACTCATTAATGGACATTTAAGTTGTTTCCATGTGTTGGCTATTGTAAATAATGCTGCAGTGAACATGGGGGTGCGTATATCTTTCTGAGTTAGTGTTTTCCTTTCCTTCAGATAAATACCCAGAAGTGGAATTGATAGATCATACAGTAGTTCTGTTTTTTTAATTTTTTGAGGAACCTCCATATTGTTTTTCATAGTGCCTTCACCAATTTACAATCCCACCAACAGTGCACCAGGGTTTCTTTCCTTTTCTCCCCATCCTCACCAGCACTTGTTGTTTGTTTTCATTTTGATGATAACCATTCTGACAGGTGTGAGGTGGTATCTCATTGTTGTTTTGATTTGTATTTCCCTGGTGATTAGTGATGTTGAGCACCTTTTCATGTACTTGGTCATCATCTGTGTCTTTAGCAAAGTATCTACTCAGATTCTCTGCCCATTTTTTAATTGGATTGTTTTTTGCTATTGAGTTGTATGAGTTCTTTATGTAGTTTGGATATTAACCTTTTATCAGATATATGATTCTTCTATTTCTGTGGCTTCAGTTTTTACAGTTAGATCTCTAATCTATTTGGGAATTTTCATAATGTATGATATAAGGAAGAGATTCAATCTTATTTTTTGCCATATAGTGATAGAATATCCTACTGCTTTGCCTTCCCTACATAAGTAAATTAAGACATGTATGTAAAGAGAGAGGAGAAAGAGAGAGAGAGAGATGGAAGAAAAGTTGACAAAGTGCTTTGCTTACTGATATGGAAAGATCTCCATTCAGATACAATATTAAAAGAAAAACAAATTCAGGAGCACTAAATCTGTACTTTATGCTACCACTTGTATAATCAAGGGGAGATGAGAAATAAATTTGTATTTGCTTGTTAAAATAAAACAAAACAAACCAGATCCATACATATGTGGATATTGGATTTATAGCATAGATGGAACTGTGGAACAGTTGGGGAAGCACAGTCTTTATAGTGAATGGAGCTGGGTTAGTTGGATATTTAAATGAGAAATAATTAATATTGACTCCTACCTCATGCAGAACCTATTCGGATTTTGCCAGTTATTTCAGTAATATCCTGGGAAATGCAAATGCAATGCAAAGAAAATTCAAGATCGTGTTTGTGTTTAGTGTCATGCCTCTTTAATTTCCTTCAGTGTGAAATCTTTCCTGACTTTGTATTCCATGACATTGACTTTTTTTTTAAGAGCTCAGGCCCATTATTTTGTAGAACCCCTCAGTTTATTTTTGTCCAATATTTCCTTGTGGTTAGATTCAGGTGATAAACTTTTGGCAGAAATATCGCATAAGTAGTATTGTGTTCTTTTTCGTGTGTCACATCAGGAGGCACATGCTATTGATTTGTCTTCTTATTAATGTTAATAACTCTGATCATTTGGCTAATGTGGTATCTGCCAAGTTTTTCCACCGTAAAGTTATTATTTCATCCTTTGTAATTACTAATTATCTGGTGGGGGTATACTTTGAGGCTATGAATAAATACCACTGCTTCTCAGAAAAAAAAAATTGTATGTGTGTGTGTTTGTGTTTGTAGACAAAATTAGTAAGCTGTGAGTATTTTGTATGTTCTGGCTAAGGAAAATAAATCACTTTTCTTGATAGTAGCTAGTAATTTTCTTTCCTGGCTAGACTTGCATACTCAAGGACAGGGATGGTGTGCAGATGAAGTATTAGAATGCCTAACTCTCTGAGTCTAAAGACTCTCAGCAAACAAGAGGTTTCTTAAGTGTAGTATTGGTGAATTAAAAGTTTTAAAGACCAGACAGAGGTACTCTGCTTTCCATATTACTGATTGCTGGGTTGTGTTCTTTAACAGCCCTAAGATTAGTAGGATAGTACTAAATGCTGCAAACAGTTATCCAGTGTTTACATCATGCTACACATTTTTGTGCTTTGCATATATAATCTCATTTAATCATCACCATAACTGTATAAACTAGGTACCATTGTTGTCTCAATTTTTACATACGAGGAACATGAGGCTTAGAAAAGTTAATTAACATGTTCTCTAGGGGCACACAGCTGTGAAGGAGTAGAGCTGATCTGAATCCAAATCTTTCTGATTCCAGAACCTAAGGAAGCATAGAGTAATAGCTAAAAACTTAGGCTTCGGAATCAGAAAGATTTGGAGAGATCAGGAATTTCTGGAAAATCTGGTTGATTTTTTTCCCCCTTCTTATTTGCTCTCATTTTTATGGTTCATTAGTTCACTAACTTATAATATTACAGTTGATTATGTCATCTGTGTTTCATTTCTGTATAAGAGTTTTAAAAGTGGAAGTATCTTTTTCTATAGTCTCACTTTTAATCCTTTTACAACATAAAATTCTATGTCTAATGATATAGGTTTCTCATATACACTTTTGTCTATAATCCTCATGAAAATTATTTCCTTATTTTCTTTAAATTTCACTGTGTTGATAATCACTTTGGTTTAAAAAAAATGGGAAAATTAGGCCTATTAAGTCTAACCCACCGATTTCCCCTTATTATCCATGGAATTAATAGTAGTGTACAGTTTTTATAATCTGGATTTTAAAGATTACCTAAAAACTTTGAGATAGAGATAATTATGTATTTTAAAATATTAAGCATTTAACAGATACTTATCACAATGATGATATTAAACCCCACATTAAAAAACTGTGGTTGGGGCTTCCCTGCTGACACAGTGGTTAAGAATGCAGGGGACATGGGTTTGAGCCCTGGTCCAGGACAATCCCACATGCCGCAGAGCAACTAAGCCCATGCGCCACAACTACTCAGCCTGCGCTCTAGAACCCACGAGCCACAACTACTGAAGCCCACATGCCTAGAGCCCGTGCTCTGCAACAAGAGAAGCCAACGCAGTGAGAAGCCTGCACACTTCAAAGTAGCCCCTGCTTGCCGCAACTAGAGAAAGCCCGCGTGCAGCAATGAAGATCCAACACACAGCCAAAAATAAATAAATAAATAAATGTATTTAAAAAAAACTACCAGAACTGTGGTTCACTTCTCTACAGTGGGGTGTCTCCATTCATTCATTCATTCATTCATTCAGAATCTGTGCTTACTGTGTGCCAGGAAAGATCCATTCCTGTGTCCTCAGATGATTGTTATTATCTTAGTAGCCAACAAGCTCCAGGTTATTGTTTTTGTAAATTTTTCCTGATTATGAAATTGTAGTTATTGTACAGTGTTTAAAATGTACAAAAATGTTGAGAAAGAAAATGAAACAATCTAAAATCTCATAACCTACCTGCTATGTATAGTTAATTACAATTTAATGAACTCATGAACCATAAAAATGAAACATAATGTCTCATAAAAATGAGAGACATTTCTTTGCAGTCTCTTTTTTTCTCTGTGTGTGTGTGTGTGTGTGTGTATATATATATATATATACATACACACGCAGAAATGCCATGTGTAAAATAGATAGCTAGTGGAACATGCTGTAAAGCACAGGAAGCTCGGCTCGGTGCTCTGTGACAACCTAGATGGGTGGGATGTGGGGGAGAGGTGGGAGGGAGGTCCAAGAGGGAGGGGATATGGGTGTACATGGAGCTGATTCACTTCACTGTACAGCAGAAACTAACAGAGCATTGTAAACCAGTTACACTCCAGTAGTAAATAAATACATAAATACATACATAAATACATAAATAAAAATGGAAAAAAAAGCTGTTTGAATCATATTGTATCAGTTTTAGAATCTGCTTTTTAAAAATAACACCAACCAAATTCCCACATCATTAAAAATTCTTTAAACGATATACCTAATTTATTTATTTACTCCCAATTTAATTTACAGACGTACAAAAGCTACCACTTGTGTAATCAGTGGAAAACCATTTCTGTGGGAATTTGAATAATAGGTGAGGAAATGGTGTCCCCTGGATTTTTTTCTTTTTAAGAACTTTGGTCATGTAAAGAAGAGATGCCAGAGAGACTTAAGAGACAAGAAATACTAGGATTCATGGCATTAATGGAAGGTTACCTTTGGAGAGAAAGACAAGTATATTAAAGAGATATTTGTAGAGAATAGAGACATTCAAAGAGCTGTCATCCTCTGGCAGTTATTTAAGCTTCACAGCAGCAGAGATTGGTTTACTCACATATGTGTCCAGTGCCTGGCATACAGTTAAGCAATCACTATATATTTGTTGAGTGATGAAGCCTAATAAAAGATTTGAGCAATTCTTGTTTATCCCAAGTCTAGTCTGAAGTGTAGCTTCAGAATTTAACCAATTCTGGAAGCTTAAGATTAACTTTTTTCTGACATTAAAAATTAAACCTATGACCAAAAATTGAAGCTTCTAAAGGAGTTTTCAGAATTCTTTTAAAGTGAAAAGAGCTGCTTTATAATATATTCTATGTGTTTTATAGTACTATACATTCCTTAGATTTACTATTTTATCTTTTATAGTGTATTTTAAGTTCTGCTTTGGTTATTATTTTTCTTTGAAGCTTTGAAACTGTTAAAGATTTTATTTGAATTTTATATTAGTCATAAAGTTGAAACAACTTTTAACAAGAGATATTGACCGTGCCTTTTCAGTGTAACTTATTTGTGAATTGTTTTTTTATAACATGAATATTTCTTCTTCAGTATGAAGTTCGTCATAGCAAGTGTCCTAAGTGCCACCCCATTTGTAGTGAAACTAATTCTCTTAAGCTCCATTTAATGCTTTGTTTGATTTCTGTAATCTGAGAGATCAGAAAGTTAATCATAATCAAGTTAATATATCCTAAGACCTAATAAGTTTTCTATGTAATTTTTTCATATTAGGTGGAGTCAAGGAAATATGTGAACCTGAAAGGTTTTATTTTTAGGCCAAAAATATGGCTCTAACTTTTTATTCTGAGATTTCTCAGTTGCTTATGAAAGTTGATTTCTGTTCCATAGACATATACGTGAAATATAAAATGAATTAGAAGGAAGATACAATACTGTCTAAAGTGATGATGCATTTTTCTTTTAGGCTGGGAAATGAGGAGCAACAGCCTGAAGTTCCAATTCTTTATCATGATGTTACATCCCTTTTGCTTATCCAGATCTTAATGATGCCACAACCCTTACACAAAGGTATGTCTTTATAATTTAGATTCTCAGATTATATTGTATATATAATGAATATTCTAAAAATTATAGGCATAAGTATAGCATTCAGTCTGATGGAAATGTTCTGAGGTAAATAGCATTATAATCATATATATCTAAAGAAGGTGACAATGAAATAGTTTTTTTCCCTTGTACGTCTGTTTTTAGATTTTTAGTCAATAATAAGGTAAAGATATGGGGAGATCACTCTTTGTTTTTAAAAAATTAAAATGATACAAAATATGAAAAATAGAGCAAACTGTCAGCCTTAATGCCTCTACCTTATCTACATACATATTTTGGTATAGTAGTATCATAGTTACTCAAAATGTGATGACCCATTATTTTTAATTAGTGTTAGTATCATACCAGTATGATATTAACAGAATTAATATTATATTAGAAACACTTTAATTATTGTTCCACAGTTGTATGAGTTCTGTGAGTTCTTTGTATATTTTGGATATTAACCTCTTATTGGATACATTGCTTGCAAATATCTTCTTCCATTCAGTAGGCTACCTTTTTTGTTTTGTTAATTTTTCATGGTAATTTTAGGAAAAGAATAAAGTGTCTGGTACTGCCTTCAGATTATGTCCTATTTACTTGTATGATTTTTCACATTTGGGTTTTATTATTTTATATGTACTCTATCTTGTCCTAAAAGAAACTTGGAGCATTTTATGTCACCTTAACTCTAAAACAGTTTATGGAAAAGAAACTTTTGCAGACATCTCAATCCTCTTTGTCTTCTTGTTTATCACCTGCACTAAGCCTGGTACTTGTAGGCAAGCCAGTAAATAAATGGATGTTGAATAACTGTATCTCTGCAGGAGATTATAGATTCCCTGGATTACTCTTGCAAAACACAGCACAAATACTGTTGCATAGAGTGCGTAGTCACTAAATATTTAATTGTCTGATTTTTGAAAATTTCTTGTGTTTTCATGCCTTACCCACTGAAGAAAATCTGGTTTACTTAGATTTTGTTTGTATCATTCCAGAGTCAAGCTGTTGTCTCAGCTTGACATCAGTATCCTTTGAACTATATTCCTGTTTTAGGGTCTTTATCTTGATGAAAAAAAAATCAGAAATATGGATAAAGATTTACATGTGATATCTGTTTAAAAAGTTGTTTAATTTCATGAGTTATAATGTTGCAAATTTTTAACAGTGTTGAATTGCATGCTAACAACAAAACGATGACTTCATCTTCTGAAATAGTGTGATGAGATAGATGTGGCATCTACCTAGTTCAGTCCTCACAGCAATTTAGAATATGAAGTAAAGAAATAATTTTCATTTGTGATTCTGAGGAGAAATTCACATTTTAAAGAGCCTCAGGTCAACATTTCTACCTTACCAGACTCTTTATCGTATGTGATCAGTAGGGGCAAGCTTTTATTATAGAGCCCTTGAAAGTGCCTTGTCTCCCTACACCCTTCCTTTTTCCTATCACGCAGTAGCACTATAAAACTTAAAATTTGCACCATTGTTTAAAGTCTGTTTGCTTTTAAGGCATTTAAAATAAATAATGATCTTCCTTTGTTTACCCTCAGGTAGGTTGATAGTGGATTTTTGGTTTTTTTAAAAAACAGATTGAGAGTAGATATCCAATTCCTTTTTCTCCTTTTTAAATTTTGATACTTATATGTGAAGGGCTTTGCTCTCTGTTGTAACCTTGGAAGACAGCAACCTGTTGACTTAGTATACACCTCAAATGAGTGATTCCTTGTTTTTCCCCTAAGTCCCTCAAATGCATTGATTTCACACATGGCAAGTATTCAGTAAATAAATATTTCTTAAATGAATGAGTGAATGTGAGAACTTAAGCTTAATCTGTGACTTTAAACTTCCAGTTTAAATATTTTTAAAATGATGATAATCGAGGCAAAGTAACAAAAAAAATTAGTAGTTTGCTACAACAAAAAGCTAAAATTATGCTTAAAAAGTCATTGTCAGTTTTTTAATGCATCATTTCTTTTTAATTAAAAATTAATTTATGTAGTTTATAATGAGAAGAAACTAAATGTGAGTGGTATTTCTAGGCCATGTAAATGACTTACTGGTTAAAATCATTTTGTTTTGTGCTTAGTAGACAAATTCTCTAATTTTTATCATTCTATTAAAATATTTAATCGTCATGAAATACTCTTGTTTTAATTTTGATGATACCGTCCTTTCTTGGTTTTCCTTGTATCTCTTTTTCTGCTCCTTTTCATTCACCTCTTCCTCTTCCCATTCTTTGAGTTGTTCCTTGGTTCCTGACCCCTTCTCAATTTTACCTTCTTTCCTATAGCATCATCTGTACCTCTTCTTTGATGATTCCCAAATATTCTAGCTCCAGTCTGCAGCTCCGTGGTGAGCTGCAGATTTCTACATATGCCTCAAACTCAACATATATAACATTAATTCATTTTCTTCCCATCCAAACTTGCTCTCTTCCTCTGTTTTCCATTTTAGTCAATACTACTACTAGTTACTCTTTGTAGAATGAGAGCCTACCATTATTTTCTACCTCCAAAGCTCTACCAAATGCTGTAATTTCTGTCATCTAAATACTTCTCTAATTCGACCCATTCTTTCCATCAGGCCATCTAATTTGACATAGGCTAGAGTACTTTTGCTATCTGCTAATAGGTGTTCTTGCCTCTAGTCTTGTTTTAGTCCCTTTCTCCTAAGAAGCAGCAGTGAATATTTTAAAATTCAAATCTAATATTATCCCTATCCTGCTTAAAATTACTTCTCGTTGCCCAGTCTGGATTCTATAAATCAAATGCTTATAGATACCAAATAAGTAACGTAAATAATAATATGAATAACAACAGATATTTACTGATTGCCATTGCCAATCACTATTTTAAGCATTTAACTTAATCCCTTTAAAGTAGGTGATATTATCCTCATTTAACAGATGAAAAAATAGAAGCAGAGTGTTTAACTAACTTGCCTAAGATCAGAAGAGTCCATTTAAATCTAGACAATTTGGCTTCATAGCCTAAACTCATTCTTAACAATAATGTCTTTGGTTTGATATAAATGGGAGTTGGGAACTGTGACAAGTTAGAGAATGCATGCTTGGCCGAAGAGGACACTTACTATTCAGCTCTAGATACCTGTCGTCATGTAAGAATGTGGACCCAGTATTGTCAGATCTTCCTGTTTTTTAAGAGTAAGTGGAAATCTGGACTTTTACAAGAAATATCCGAGTTTTAAATGTCAGTAACTAAAGACAAAACAGGATAAAGACAAACCAAACATCTCTCCAGGCTGCATTCAGACAGGTAACCCTCAGTTTGCAACCTTTGGTCTTCGGCATAAAGATTACTTTTCCAGCTTCATCTCTCATAGATCGCTACTTATAAGTCTAGATACATTGGACAATTTACAATTCTTGTAGGTCTTGGGCTCTTTTTGTGACCCTTGTACAAACAGCTTCCTCTGTCTGGAATCCCCCTTTCCTTGCCTCATTCCATCTTTGCCTTCCTTATTATGGCTTATTTCTCTTCATCATTCAAGACTAACTCTCCTCGTTGGGGCAGGAGGCTTGAATTTTTTTCTATTCCCTGTCCTTAGTCTATATTAGTTCCTCCTCCTGTTTGCTCCCATCACACCCTGTACATACATACAGCCATCTGTCTCTCTCACTATCCAGACTCCAAGTCCTTATTGTCTATACCCTGGCATGTGTTAGGTGTTAAGATATTTAGAAATCCATTTAGAACTAGCTTATAAGCACAAAGAAAGAGCACTGATGGGCTCACATAACCAAACTGTAGGAATTGGTAGTCTTAGGGATGACCAGAACCATGGCTTCAGATGCTGGCAGGGTTCTTGCCATCTTGGGTCTATCCCTCTCTCTGTGGATCTGCTTCATTCAGCCTTGCCTTAGATAGTCTCTGCCATAGACTAGGAGCGTGACCTCTGATATTTCCAGACTCACATCTTTACACCTTCCCTTTGCCTCCAGTTAGAGAAATCCCAGATAGGTACTCTGACTGGCTCAGCTTATATCAAGTTCCCACCCCAACCCATAAACATTGGTAAGAGAAAGCATGTGTGTGTGTATGCATGTGTGCACAGGCACACTACACACTCTTACACACACACAGAAACACACAGATTTAAAATTAGGCAAGATTTTCCTTAGGGCATGATTTTTAAGGTGTCATCTACCTAATTTAAGAGTTAGCCAGGTTACAAGGAGGGAGTAATTCCACTTGAACAGAGACCCAGTAGAAGGATGCCAAATACTTCTTTTAAAAAGATTAGTCTTACTGTAATAAACAGACAAAAAAGACTGCAGGGGGCAGGTAATGCTGATAAACCACTGTGCAGGAAAGAGTTAATAAAGAAGGCCTGAGTGCTATCCTTTGAAAGGCCTGCTTCCAAGGTTGGCCCTTGACTGGTATCTGGGAACTTTGATTTTGGGAGAGTTTCCACCATCCCACTGATAAGAATGGCTCTCTGTGCCTAAACTGTACAAACAGTGTGGTTTATGCTGAACATACCTGATTTCTTCCTGGGAATCTAGAACTTTGGTATGTGCTAGGCAGTGGGTACCTATGTGACCTGCTCCCAATAAAAATCTTGGGGAGAGTTTCTTCTTTCTTTTTTTTTTTTTTACATCTTTATTGGAGTATAAATGCTTTACAGTGGTGTGTTAGTTTCTGCTTTATAACAAAGTGAGTCAGTTATACATATACATATATCCCCATATCTCTTCCCTCTTGCATCTCCCTCCCTCCCACCCTCCCTATCCCACCCCTCTAGGTGGTCACAAAGCACCAAGCTGATCTCCCTGTGCTATGCGGCTGCTTCCCACTAGCTATCTATTTTACGTTTGGTAGTGTATATATGTCCATGCCACTCTCTCACTTTGTCCCAGCTTACCCTTCCCCCTCCACATATCCTCAAGTCTTTTCTCTAGTAGGTCTGTGTCTTTATTCCTGTCTTTCCCCTAGGTTCTTCATGACATTTTTTTT